GTTTATTTATTTTATTTTATTTTATTTTTTTGGCAGAACCAGGGATTGAACGCAAGCCCTTGCACTTGCCAGGGAAGCGCTTATTCCACTGAGCCATCTCCCCAGCCCCTTCACTATAGGCTTACATGAATTGCAAAAATATAAAGTTGCCGAAACCAAGCTTTCCACCATATTTTTAAATTTTTTTCCATTCAATTATTTATTTATTTGTCTGGTACAGGGTCTTGCTATGCAGTTCACACTTGTAGCGATCCTCCTTTCGCAGCCTTCCCAGCACTGGGACTACTGGCGTGTGCCACCACACCTGGGGTTCCAGGGCCAGCACTGCATGCAGTACTGGGAATAGAACCTAGGTCTTTGTGCTTGCCAGGCAGATGCTTAGATTCCTGAGCTATCTCCCTAGCCCCTTCCCACCATATTATGTGGGTTAAGAAATCTGAAATTTTAATTGATTACAATCCCAATACAAGCTGCAAGTGTGATGTGAGGGTTTTTTTTAAAAAAGAATAATTATTCATCTCTGTGTCCCATTAAAACATACCTAACATCCCTACAGAGAGTTCACCTACTTCCCGTCTGGTATATTATAAGAGGGCTAGGAATATAATTTAAGAAAAAATATTGCCACACAAAACCATCAGTTTGCCCCAGCTCTTGCAAAGCCTTACATCATTTATAAGTTACACTTGTACGTTTTTGCACTTTGGTTCAATAAAGCCCAGTGAAGGTTGTTCTGTCATCCCACTTCTCAGTCTTGTTTTCTTTCCTCTTTTGGACTCAAGGTTCAGAGCTCATGTGCGGGGGTGGTCAAGCTCTTCTCACCTCCAGGACTAAGACTGATCAAGTCTCGGGTTTTTTACTCAGTGTTTAAAAAGCCTAAAACAGAAGTGCCTTCTAATAGAGGGGAAGGTTCACAGTGCAAACTGGCCAACTGATGCTCTGAGTGCTGCGGGGGCCAGGGGCTGTGAGGGGAGGGAGGCTGTGTCAGACCCCCTCTAGAGTATCACACGCCCAGCCCAGGGACTCGGGTTTGACTTTGGGCTGGTGAATGCATTTGTGATCTGCAGTTTTTAATTTAGACATATTTGCTTTGCTTTTATAATTTCATTTCCAGCAATATAATTGTTTTTTCTATAATTTAGGATTAACATACTCTATTTGTGAAAAAACTTTTAAGAGCCTAAAACGAGGAAGTAAAGCATGACTAGTGTTTGGTGTAATTACCTACAGAAGAAATATTATGCTATTTCCCAGAATATGTCCCCAGAGTGAATATTTGCATGTGTTCCATTTCATTCCTAGCTATGAAATCCTATCAGGGGTGATGAGAAGAATCATTTTGAAATATATTGAAGCAGAGAATGGAGTTTGCAAAGTATTATTAGGTTTGCTAAGTTGAACCTTTACGAATCAAGCTGTTGGCATACTGCTGTAAAAACCAGTGCCTCGATGATAAAAGGTCTCTGAAATAAGGCCACCAGAGTGACAGTCATTGAAAAAAAAAACTTAAAATTTATGTTGAAGATACCTTTCTGTCCTTCTTTCTAGAACTAATATAATATAGTCTTAGCTCACATGAAATAGTTATTCATCAAAGGGTAGGACAGTTGAAGGGAAATAAAAATTATTTCAGAAATGATACCGAAATAGTGAATTCTCCCCAAAGATTAAAACATGCAGAGGAGATATAATATGTCAGTGTTTTAGAATCAATCTAAGATAACATTTTAACTTTATTTCTGGTTAGGTTTAATAAATGGAATTTCTCGGTCTTCAGCCTTTTTCTCACTTTATTTCCTGAAAAAGGTAGCTACATTGTGAAACTTTAGAATTGTGAATCTTTCATGTGAATGATCTGAAGAGCTGGGCACTCTTGACATGTTCATCTTTTAAAACTTGAAGTTATTGCCTTCCTTACCCTCTCCCAGTTTTTTCCCAGTATCACTAATCATAACATAATTTTCCCAGAGAAGTTTGCGATGCAATGAAAGTAGTAAGAAAAGGACCACAAAGATAGCTCAGCAGTCTAAGTTCCTGCCTGGCAAGTACAAGGACCCAGGTTTGATCTCCCGCACTGCATGCTGTGCTGGCCCCACTCCAGGTGTGCCAAGCTGACAGGAAGACCCAGCATGGATACACATGCCTGTAATTCCAGCTCTGGGGAGGCTGGAACAGGAGGATCACTGAGTCCAAACTGCCTAGTCAGACCCTGTACCAAATACATTTAAAAAAACAAAGTACTAAGAAAAAAATGACGCACAAAGACATCTGATGTTTAATTCAATTTATTATCCATTTTAAAAATGACTTTTATAAAGGTTAACAATCTGGATAGCTTGCTATTTGGTAAGATCACTATTCCTAAAGGTGTGTTAGTTTTCTGCTTGGGTGCTTGATGTCGTAGTGGTTCAGCAAGCCCCAGTACATTTTCCTCTCTCAGTTGTTAGTGCAGAGTAAATAAAGGCAGTCATGGTGAGGATTTCCTGGGATGCTCTTGACCAAATTAGTATCAGCAGCTTCTTGTTAAATTGCTCAAACTTAGAAACCTTGCCCTATTGATTTATGTATGTGTAGTTGTGCTTTGTGGGCCTGGCATTTGGGAACTTGTAGTTTAGTATTTATGAATGAAAACATAGGTACTCAGAAATTCATTTTACACTAAACCACAGTTTCTCCTCTCAGAAAATAACCTTAGATTGAAATATTAAGGGACCTGGAAGATGAAGAAGATGCAACTTTGCTCTTGAATGTCATGTATGTGAAATTTTGGTGAATTTAAAAATTTAACCATGTTGAGACCAGATGTGTTTCTACATTCAGAATTTTTCAGATTCTAGAAAACTGGTGCCCTAGACATCTTACTGTATGTAGTTTTCCCACTTTATAGACAAGTTCATGAATATTCTGACAGCAAAAGTATATAAATAGTCACTGAGATAAAGGGTGTAAGGCACTAAACAGTTTCATCTCAGCTTTGGTCAGAATCTGAAGCCAAGTAAATTCACCTATTACAAAACATGCTGTTAGGGCTGGGGTTATAGTTGAGTAGTGTAGTGCCTACCGGACAATGTGAGGTCCTGAGTTTAATCCCCAGCTCCCACCAAAAAAGGAAAAAAAGAAAAAAAGTGCTGCTGTAAACATGGGTACACATAATCACTGGGCATGATGCTTTTAGTTCTTTCAGGAAGGGGACTAACTAGGTCAAGTGGAACCTCTAGTCCTAGTTTTTGAGGAATCACATGATAATTTCCACAGTTGTACCCGTTGTACCAGTCTATACTCTGCCAACAGTGGAGAAGAGTTCCTTTTTCCCCACAACCGCTCCAGCATTTGTTATTGGTTGATTTCTTGATAGTAGCCGTTCTCTCTGGAGATGGAATCTCAACATTGTGTTAATCTGCACCTTTTGAACGAGCAGTGATGTTGAACATTTTTTCATATATTTATTTGCTGTTTGGACTTATTCATGTGAGAAGTGTCTGTTTATTTCAGATGTCCTTGGACTCGGTCTTTAAATTTGGGAATATCAGATTTTTTTGTGTGTTCTTTATAAATTCTAGATATTAGTCCTTTGTGATTTTTTAATATGAGAATACTACTCAGCAATAAAGAAGGATAAACTTAAGACATTTGGCACTTTGAGGCCATACTTCTAAGTGAAATAACTTAGGCATATATGGATATAGATAGCACATTGTTTCTCTATGAGAAACCAAAAGAGTAAATAAAGATGAAAATGTGTGATCAATATTGTGAAATATGACGAAAATGTCCAAACAGAAAGGAGTGAGAAAAGAAAGAAAAAGGTAAAAAACAAAAGCAAACCAAAAAAACCCTTTTTTATATACGGATAGGAAGAGGTTGAAAAGGAGGGGAGAGGAATGGGGGAAAAAAGAATCAAGGTATATTCTGTACAAGTACAGATTCCGTACGATGACTGTGATACTTAGGTATACCTAAACTGTACCAATGAGAGCTGACCAAAGAGCTCAGTGAATTCAGTGCCTGGGGTTTGATCTGTGCTGGCCCCACCCCCAAGGCATGCTGAGATGGCAACTGAGACTGGGCGTGGTGGTGTATGCCTGTAAGCCCAGTTTTGGGGAGGCTGAAAACAGGAGGATCACTACAAGTTGGTTCTAGTAGTGAGACCCTGAACACCCTGTAGACCCTTCCCTAAAATAAAATACAAATAATAATAAATAAAATGTACCAATAAACTCAATTGAAAATTTAAAAAAAAACATAAAAACCTTTTTGTAGGGGCTGGGGAGATAGCTCAATAGAGTAAGTGCTTGCCTGGCAAGCTCAAGGGCCTGAGTTCAATCCCCAGTTCCACAAAAAAAACAAACAAAAAAAAAACTACCTCATTGTTTTTACAGCTTTTGTGGTTTTCCAGTTGTCAGAATCTAGATTTATAATGTTTGGTCTGTGGTGGTTTAATGAGTCGTCTTTACCATCTCTGTTTTCAAATGGTTAAATGGAGTTACTGCTGTTTCCCTCGTTTCCTGCCCCCGGGGCAATGGGAAAATCTGAGCAGAGTTCAAGTGACTGAGTGTGACCATAGTGTGTCGTCTCACTTGATCCTCATGAATTGTCTGAGACTGGACCATTTCCATTTTCGCGAGGTCACAGGGCTGTGAGGAACCCGGTGGCTCATTCTGGACCATGAAGTTATCATGGAGCAAAACCAGCATTCTCAGTCGGGTCTTTCAACCCTGGATCCCGTCCTCCTTCCGCTAAATCAAATTTTCATAGGAAAAGCATCTGATAAAGCTGAGAAAGTGTCTCAGATATGTTTGTATACAGTTTAATGGATATGTCCTATTGCATACAGCTTTTTACTAATTTGAATCATTTAAACTTGGCAGAACAAGCTCATTAAAAACTTTAACATTTATTCTGATCATTTTTAAAAGAGATGTAATTGAAATATTTAATTTTAATTATGGAATAATAAAGATATTTCATGGTGTTCCCCTATTTATATTTTTAATTTTTAGATGTGCCTGGCATCAGAGGGGGTGAAAATGGAAGAAACAAAACTAATAAAGGCAAAAGAATCAGATAATGGAAGAATTAAAGAGTTAGAAAAAGGAAAAGAAGAAAGAGAAATAAAAGAGAAAACAGATGCAACTGGATTGCAGGAGGGGGAAGAATTTGAAAAACCAGCCGAGGAAAATGTAAGAGAGTTTAAGGAATTAAGAAATTTTGAAGAGCTACAAATGGATGATGTAATGGCTATAAAAATGGAAGACTCCAAAGAAATTACAAAGGAAGAATTAGAGGAAGACCAAAAATGTAGTCATTTCTCTGATTTTTCTTACTCTGCAAGTAGCAAGATAATAATCAGTGATGTTCCCAGTCGGAAGGATCACATGTGCCATCCTCATGGAATTATGATCATTGAGGATCCCACTGCATTGAACAAACCAGAGAAGCTAAAAAAGAAGAAAAAGAAAAGCAAAATGGATCGACATGGAAATGAGAAATCCACACCCAAGAAAGCATGCAAAAAGAGGCAGTCTTCAGAGTCTGACATCGAAAGTGTCATTTATACCATTGAAGCTGTCGCCAAAGGAGATTGGGGTGTTGACAAACTTGGAGAAACCCCTCGAAAGAAGATCCGCACATCTTCAAGTGGCAAGGGAAGCGTTTTGGATGCCAAGCCACCAAAGAAAAAAGTGAAATCAAGAGAGAAGAAAATGTCAAAGGAAAAGTGCTCAGACATTACCAAAGAGTCAAGACCTCCAGATTTCATTACTATTCCTGCCAGCAAAAACATTTCTGGTGAGGTGCCAGAGGGTATGAAAGCAGAGCCCCTTACCCCCACCGAGGATGTTCTGCCACCCAGCCTATCAGGACAAGCCAAGCCTGAGGACAGTGACTGTCACAGAAAGATGGAAACCTGTGGCGCCAGGAAATCGGAGAGGTCTTGCAAAGGTGCTCTTTATAAAACCCTGGTGTCTGAGGGCATGCTTACCTCTCTGCGAGCTAATGTTGACCGAGGTGAGTGACTTGCACAGACCTCAAAAGCATACAAAGGCCAGCCGGAGTGCTTCCTTGAGGCCTACTGAAAGGAGCCTCTGTAAGGAACACAATGGCTCATACTTGCACGTTCCTCAAGGTTAATGCAGCATAGCCATGTGTGATTTTGCCTACATGTTTTCTAGCTCCTTTGCAAGGATTGTATCATTTAGTGGCTACTTCTCAGGATATAAGTAGTCAAAGTAACAACTTTTGTTTTAATGGTTTGGCTTAGCTCCTTTTTTTGAAGATCAGTATTAAAAAGAACTTTTGGTTTGGGTTTTAAAACTAATGAAATTTCCAGAATGAGGCAGATGGGTCTAACAGTCTTGACCTGAAAGCTCCAGAATATCCTATGTTTCTCTCCATTAGGTAGGCAGAACTGTAATTGAAGTGTTCTTTAGAACACAGTAGCATCCACAAACTATTCAGTCTATAGTTTTATTCCATGGAGTAGTTTATATAAATTTATCTATTTTAAAATACAGCATCTTGCTAGGGGATGCTGCAACAAGCTATATTTCAACAAGAGATACCTGAATCTTCAGCTGAATAAACCCTCAATGAAGGTAATGGAGAGCCTATAGTTTTCCAAGGATGTCATCCCAGTGAGCCTTGGAGAAATTTGAATTAATAGTGTTTGTCAGCCACGGGATCCCATGCTTTAGCTAGTTCACAAGTGGAAAACACAGTAGTTCTTTTTTTTTTTTTTTTGGTACCAGGGATTGAACTGAGGCCCTTGCATTTGCCAGGCAAGTGCTTATTCTACTGAGCTATCTCCCCAGCCAGTTCTTTGTCTCTTAAGTCCTATGGTACCTATGAAATTATGGCAAGACAAACTCACATGTTTTAAGTCACTTTCTCACATATTATGTTAGTAACCTACAGAGCCCAGAGGCCACTTGTGAAGCAAGTAAAGTACTCTCTGCCTACCCCAGGGTACTGAGTGCATCTTGTTTCCTGAACCCCGTTAGGTAAACGAAGCTCGGGAAAAGGAAACTCTTCTGATCATGAAGGGTGTTGGGGTGAAGAAAGCTGGACATTCAACCAGTGTGGGACCAGTGGGAACAAGAAGTTCAAGAAAAGTAAGCTGAAAGAAGATTCTCTCCTTGGGTAAGTGCCTTCATGCATATCCTCCTGCATTGCATGGAGCCCACTGTGGTCGGAGTTTCAAGGTTCACGTAGACCACTGGGTGCTTAATGCTTGACTTTTCATTTAACACTTCACTGGAGTCTAGAAAACTCCCTAGTAAACACAGATCAAGTGTGTCACATGATTCCTACTGTTAGTACAGTCATGAATGTGATAATACATTCACATTTTAGGTAGAGTAGAAATTATATAGGTTTTAAACTGCAGGCTGAGTTTGAACTGAGGTCCACCAAGTCGTATGGTGTGATCTTGTAAATCCTTTAATATTGCTAAGACTAAGTTTCCCCTCTGAAACTTAGAATGGATATTATTAGTAGGTTTTGATTTTGTACACTTTATATACTAAATTCATATTTATGGTACTACATTTATATTCATTTAATATTTCTAACTGTGTACTTGTGTTTATAAAATAATGTGACAGCTGGAATATGTGAGGTAAATAAAATTATGTTTCTGCCTCTAACCTTGATTCATTTAAACTATCTTCTGTTGCTCTAAGATAAAAATATTATGTTGGATATCATACAGAGAACATTGAATACATTAACTGTACATTGAAATGGAGTACAAATTAAGCAGTGGTATACAGCAATAAAATCATTAAGAATTACTTCATATCTAATACTATACAAAGACTCATAACAACCTTAATATAAAACATTTTGTTAGTAAGGACATACAGTATTTTATATTGATGGGAAAAGTATCTGCATATTCAGTTATACTGTTTTGAAAATCCTGTGAGGTTTTCATTAGTCCAAATTTAAGAAGAATACATTGAATGAAAATAATTTTCCATATTTTTTCATAAGTGTGTTTAAAGGTATGCAAATTATATGCACTGGGTATATTGTATTTCTTTTATTCATAATATTTGCATTTCTATTTGTAGAATAATGTAATATTTTTAAAAATCACAGAGCTTTAAAGTCTGGTTAATTCTGCAACTCCAGGTCATCAAGTGAGAAGGTAGAAATTTTTTGTCATAGTACTGGCTCCTCAAATTTATTTATATTGAAATAATACATTTTAACTTTATGTATTTTATTTCTAATACTTATTTTCAGTTTTTTTATTAGTATCTGTTTGCAGTTCATAATGAGTGCAATCTGTGTGCGGTGCTCATACATATTCAAAACATGACTCATTCCTGTTTCATCCCTTTCCCCTCCCTCCTTCTCTTAAACCCCTTAAAAGTTCAGAGTACTTCACATTAAGTTTACTTACATTATGCTTAAATAATGATACGAAAATCATGCCATTTGTTACTGTTAAAGAATACTTTCACATGTAGAATGGCCTAAAAAATAGTGGATAATTGAGCATTTAGACCAGTGTTCTGTCTTCTAAAAGAACTTCCAATGCCTGTGAATCTAGGCACCAAGAGAGGAACAGGTCTCATTGTACAAGTACTCAGAAACAGAGCAAGCAGAACTGTCTCCAAGCTTCCCTTGGAAACCGTTGAGTTGTGTGGCACATTTTTTTCACTAATCTTTGAGAAAGAGTAAGTGCCACAGTCTTTTGAAAATTTGTCCCTGGGATTGGTGAGGGGCACATGCCTGTGTTTCACTAATTTCTGAGGAAGCGTCATGTGAAAATTGGAAGCATGGTTTAAATCAGCAGTAAGCGTCAGTGTTCTTTTTTTCCCTTTACCTCTTAAAATATTGACCCGTCAGGATCAGGTAGGCCCATGTGGCCAGCCTAAGGCACGCATGCCACACAGCCAGCTCCTTGTTCTTATTGAGAGCTCTAAAAGTTCACCAGGCCAGTGTGCTGACACACACCTGTAATCCCAGCGCTTGGGAGGCTGGGACAACAGGATCACTGTCAGTTTGAGGCCAGCCTGAACTATATAGTGAGACCCTGTATCAAAAATATACATGAATGAGTGAGTGAGTGAGTGGTTCATGGGCACTGAGATAGACTGGGTTTGCCTCATTTAGAATATGCCAGGATAATGTCTGAGCAGTGGGAAACGTTGGATCCTGTCAGTCTGCTCTGAGATTTGTAGATAAAAATTATAAAATGTTTTAATCTTAGAAAATATACTCCTCAGTTGATATAGCCAAGAAAATCTACTTCAGTATTAGAGTTCTAATTGTATATACTTCAGTTATCATATAGATGATTTTCATTATCTCTATGAAAATAAGTTGAAAAAAAATCTCAATGAACCTTAAAAATCTCAACAAAAATACAAGTTCATCTTGCATTTTCACAGGTTTTCTTTTGGATATCTTACAGTAAATGAAAACCTCTAACATCCTTATTGCTATATATTATATATATGAAGCTCTTCAGTAGTTTTTGTTTTAGTATCGGGTCTTTTATAGGTATTAACTTTTTTTAGCTGAATGAGGAAAGATGGTTTTATTGGAGGAGGTGCATCACTCTCTGGTAGAACCTAGTGATGGCCGTCTTTTTCTACTCTTCAGTCATCTTACCACTTTACTTGTCTCCCAGCCCTTTTACTGAACATTCCTCCAAAACTGAGAGTGACTTTAGGTAGAAATATCGCAAGCACATCCTGTAGCTGGAAGCCAAATCCATCAGCTTCTCTAAACTGCACCAAAGCTGCCATCCTCTTCCCCACATACCTTCTACTACTTGTCCAGCCATCTCTTAGAGCTTCCCTTGTCTGTCTGGAATGTGCATTAGTTAGAAAGTCCTATTGAATGAAGCAAGTAGCCAGCCTAGGATGCAGCAGGCACACTGCCGTTGCTGGAGCTGTGGGCTGCACACAAGTCAGAGTGAGCCCAAGACTTCCCAGTTGGCCAGTGGCATTTTGAATGAAGATAAAATGGTGTCACCTCACAACCAGTAGTATGGTCATTGAACTCTGAATTGACTTTGCTTGTTGGGTGTTTTATCCACCTCTGGCCAACTATCCAGAATTTTTCTGATACCCAATTTTTTTGTGCTTTTTATTTGTGTATGTTTTAGTCAAGCACTAGTTTTTTGAAACACCACCTGTCATTTTATCAGTAAGCTTGCCAGTGCATATTCATGTATATAATCATTAGAATGAGGAACTGCCTGACTAGAGTATGCTTTGTACTAAACTTTATGTAAAATTCTCATGCCATTTATTTATTTTTATTTAGTTAGTTATTTAGTTATTGCTCCAAATGCCTTCAGGGCAGGTTTGGCTGGTTTGAGTTGGGATTGAACCACAGCAACCTGAGCCTGACTGCTTTGTTGAAGCAGCCACTTAAAGAACTGAGCTAAGGGGCAGGCCCCCTGTCATGCCATTTAAATGCAAATTTGCCACTGAAAATATATTCTAATAATCTCAATGATGTTTCAGCCTTTTAAAATAATAACATAACTTGTCATGTGAGTTTACTAAGAAAATTGTGTTGGTAAATCTTCTCAAGAATTTCTTAAAAGGTGTTTTTCCTTACATAGAACTTACTTAAAATACCCTAATTTCCATGGGTCCTGTTTTCAAATGAAATATCTTAAAATATATTGTGTATCAGTCTCTGTTCAGATATTTGATCATGTACTGATTGATTCCCCTCTTCACTTTTAATAGCTCAGCAAAGCTGGATGAAGAATTTGAAAAGAAATTCAACAGCCTTCCTCAATATAGTCCTCTTACTTTTGACCGGAAATGTGTACCTGTCCCAAGGAAAAAGAAGAAGACTGGAAATGTGTCCTCAGAACTGACTAAAACCAGCAAAGGTTAGGCATGGCCTGTATCTCCTCACGGTGTGGTCAGAACCTCAACTGTCCTCTTGGCTGTGCTTCTGAAGCTTCCAGTAGATGAGGCAGTAACTGAATTTAAAAATGAGGCAGTAAGGTTCAGAATTTCAGGATGCTTCCCAAGATTGTCTTGGTTCCTGCCTCTCCCCCCTTTTCTCTTTCTGAATTCTCCTTAGCGCTGTCCTTTGGCACCTCAGAATGTACGTTTGGTCTTAAAGATGTAGCAAAGGTTTTTCAACATGGTCGTTGACTATCTGCTCTCTAGAGCACTAATTTGGGTGTTGGATTTTTCTTGTGCAGAACTGCTGAATCCAGTTCTTCTGTTCCTTGAGTCTACTGTGGATTCTCTCTAGGAGTGAAGTCATTCTATTTGCCTGATCAGCAGACACTATTCTTTATTAATAGTATAGACTGAATTAAAATGAATATGCCTGTTTTTCTTGATTTTGTTAGATTTTAGGAAAATGTTTTGCTTTCTATATTTCTTTTCAAAAATATCAGCTTCTCCCTACATATATCAGGGACTCTCTTAAATTTATCATCATGCCTTAGGTGGATCTCAGCATTCATCAGGCACAGTAGTCCCATCCAGAAGAGGATATAAAAGAATAGGGGGCATTTTTACTGAGCTCAACACCTCGGAGCACTGTTGCGTAGAGCAGAGGCTGCAATGCCAGCTCCACCCTTCCAACATTCAAGCACGAGGAATGATTGACCTCCAGTGATGACAATATTGATGTCATTGAGAACATTGTCTTCCAACTTTACATTAGTTCTGAAGATTGTTGGAGCATATTCCCCTTGTTCTTCACAGTTGTGAAAGACTATCTGTGGCAGTTTGTAGAATTGGTGTGCTGAGCTGTAGTTGCTTTCAGGATCAAGACTTCAACAAAAGTTCTTGGAAGTATCTTGGCCAAAGTAGATGCCTGTTCCCTGCTTTGTGTCAAGTCAGATTATTTTCCTTCTTGTGTATGGTTTAGATTAGACATAACTACTAATGGAAAGATACAGTTTCATGGATTTTGAGGGAGTATTTAAAGCATGTGTATTAGGAAAAATTATGTTTTCTTCAGAGAAGGAACCTAAACTACTGCTCCTTGAGACTAGCCCTTTGTCTTTGTACACTGGAACTGCTACATCCAGATGGCCCTTGAGAGCTGTCTCAGAACATCATTGAAAGCCAGATGAAAATTCCCTTTTAGTGATTAGTGGTACAGAAAACTCTTTTTTAGAACTAGTTGGTTTTCTCTGTAATTGATGAAACTTAGTCTAATGAATAAAAAGTGAAAATGCTACATCAGCAGATTTTGTCATCTAGAAGAAAAAAATAGTGTTGTATAAAGATCTCCCAAGATAGATATGGAAAGAAATAAAATAGACTTCTTGATAATTAGGTGACTGAATATCAGAATAGATTACCAACTAATTACAATAATAGTCTTCATGTCCTAGGCATATTTAGGAAAAGGCAGAATAGTCCACAAACCCATTGGTGCCAGCTATCTTGATCTCCCATAATTCTTAGATATAAAGTTGCTGATAAATCTCTGACAAGCCAGTACAATAGAACTCTAATTGACTGTGGGATGCATTTCTTATCCCACTTCTCACAGTTTAAGGCTTTCACTTTACATCTCTCAAGATGGCTGGATACTGAACTCTCTTATTATGCCTCTAAAGCCACAAAGTCACTGAAATAGAGTATAGCAATAACTACATGTGTGGGGAGTCTCACAATTTTAATTTTGCTCTGCACTGTTTCATAGAGCAAAAAGCAATTGAAATAATGAAGAAATTAATATATTCTCTATTTAGTAAGCTAAAGAAATAGTATTTATGGCTGATTGTAATTTGGCATTAGCAGCACCAGTGTGCTAGACTACAAGTTATTAATGAAATTATCATGCCAGCTGTGCCGTAATTGCTTGATCTTTAGGGGATAGAGGAGATTGTTTTCTTAGACTCCAGACCCTTTGCATCTTTGCATAATGAATCATTCAAAGCAAACACTGTGCCTGGAATCATTAGTTCATTAGTAAAAGTGCGTGTGTCCATTGGAAACTCATTTTCCTCCAGCCATTTGCCATTTGTCTGCTTTTATCTTCTCCCCTATCTGTTGCTACTGAACATTTGTTATATCTTTTCCTGATTTATACTTAACACATTTTTAGGTACCTTCAGGTCATGTAAAACATTTAAAAAAATTTTTCTGGAGTATGACTTCTTGAAGCAGTGATTATTTATGCCTTCCTGCGGTTTTGGATTTCCGAGTCATTTGCTTCATTTTATTCCTCTATTTCCCATTGGTCTTCTATTCTTATGTTTTTCCAAGTCATCTCTGCTCCTTTCTCATTGTCCTTCCATTACTTTCACCCCATTTCTTATATTTGTATAATGGGTTTTGTCAAAAGCTATGTTATGAAGTAGATGAAAATAAGTGCCGTGTTCTACCAACTGAACTAGGGCTCCGTCATGAAGCAGCAGAGGACCGTGATCTAGCAATGCCATTTCCTTTGCCTTTTAAGAGCAAATTAGCCAATAAATTAAATACTTCTCTCAGTGAAGTTCAGCTGAAGTAACCCACACTGACACTTTTCACAGGTTTTATGTTGTTTGTGTTTTTAAATGAAAGCTTTGTTATAAGTCTAAATGGAATGCCTTAGGATATTTGTTTTGACACATTATTTTATGTATACTTCTGATGTTTTGAAGCATTATTTACAAAAAAGCAACAAAAATCAGAGTTCTCTGCCAAATAGTAATTTTGAATGGAAGTAGGACCCTGGAGTAAAACCAAACTGAGTTCCATGTAGAGTGTTGTAGAACACGTCTTCTGGCCCTGGACTTCTTTCTTCTCTTTTATTCTGTGCTTACATAGTTTTTTTACTTACCAAACATACAGTTTCTTTTTTTCTTTTTTCTAATTAACACTTAGGGTTTGATATCTAAAATGATTAAAGATCTCAGGTTTGGGGCTGGGGATGTGGCTCAGTGGTAAAAACCTTGCCTAACAAGCTGGAAGCCCTGGGTTCGGTCCTCAGCACCAAAAACCAAAAACTAAACCAGCCCTAAAGATTTCAGGTTTTCCTTAGGGTGGTAACAAAAGAAGTGGGTTCATAGAATTTAGGTTGAAGCAGAGACCCATGTTTAGCCCTGAGCCCTAAGCATACTTTCAGTCATAGAAAATTGAGAGCTGTGGATAGCCCGGCCAGCCCCCAGCCTGGTAGGAAGTCAGTGTGTCTGGGCTAGGCAGAATGTTGTATTGTTTATCTTCCCCTGCCACCAGACTTGCTCAGAAGCATGTTGAGTTTCTGTGTACTGCACGTTTACTTGTAGAATCAGTCTTAAGCTCCTTAACCAAGTCTGCATGTCCAGCAAAAGAGGAAGCTCCTACCCCTTAATGAATCTTTAAGCTGATAAACTTACTGGTACACTCGCTCTTGCCACCATACCCACGTGCCCAGCAGCTGGGAGCACTGTGCTGTAAATTAGTGCAAAAGAATAGCAGTTACTCATACTTAGATATCCAGTATAAAAGTAAGATTAAACCTTTGACTTTTTTTTTAAGAGCTTGAAAATGCAAAACTATAGAATCTGTTGAAAATCCATTGCCATTGAAGTTATGCTTAAGGCTCATTTCCAACAATAGTTTTAGAGAGGCGGTTCATTTAATTATCTGCTGACCTTGAAAAATTATTATACCAGTGTAATAGTGAAATTTTGTTGTGTTCTATAACACTAAATTGAACTCAGTTTGCTTTTACTCCAAGATCCTACTTCCATTTAAAATTACTATTAAACAGAGAACTCTGACTTTTGTTGCTTTTGTAAATAATGCTTCAAAAACATCAGAAGTAGACATAAAATCATGTGTCAAAACAAATATCCCAAGACATTCCAGTTAGACTTATAACTTAAAGCTTTCACTTAACTTTTTATCCTTAAAATGTCCATCTTTTTAGCAAGTCATGAACAACAGTAATGTTTTAGAAATCTTATTAACATCTCTAAAGAAACTCCATCTTTTTTTTTTTTTTTGGTGTGGTACTAGAGATCGAATTCCATAGCACTCTGTCATTGAACCACATCTCCAGCACAACACCCCATTATTTAAATTTTGATACAGGGTCTGGCTAAGTGACCCAGGCTACTAATATGGTCCTGCCTCAGCTTCCCAAGTATCTAGAATACCACATGTGGTTCTGAGGCAGCCCTGATGTTCTCTTGCCTTGTGCTTGGGCCCCTTTTGTTTTCTGCACAACTTTGAATTGGAATGCAAAGAGATTGTTACCTTCAAAATATAGGTCATCCTGCCCAAAAACTTCACTGGAGATCTAAGACACTATTTGTACCAGCAGTGTCTAGTCATAAAGAAGCTAAAGTTGATGTAAATAGTCTCTTAAGAAGTTTGGTAAGAGATAGGATGAACCTTGAGAATCATGTAGAGCAGTGATGGTGACCTTTTATTTTTTTACTTTTTTATATTTGTCACAGTTGTATTTTTTATGAGAATAAAAAATAGTAAAAAACATTAGAAACAATACAGAATTTCACTAAACAATATGATAGGAATTCATTTCAATGATAAAAAAAAAAAAACAAAAAACTAGCTGCCGCACTCGTACCATAGGTTAACCACTGGAATAGAGTGAAGAGCAATTATTCTTCGTACAGTTGTTGATTTTGTTTTCTAAATGATTCCTTCTAAAACTTTTTCTCTGCTTTTCATTTCCTGCCTTTACCCGTCTCCTTTGAACACTTCTGTATTTATATGTAACAAGTAACTAAGAAAAAAGATGCAAGTAAATTTCTTTATATTTGCCATGTAGTACAATAGGACTTTCATTTTCTTTAGAAAACACATTAAATGTTGTTGTAAAGGTGTTCACTTCCTTGACTCACAAATGCTGCTTTTCCATGACTAGAGTAGATCTCATCTACTCAAGTTTTTCACTTTCTTTAAAACAGAGTTATTATTT